CCCTCTTCGCCATCTGTTCAGCCTATTGCTTGCGGCTTTCATAGGAGGCACCATCCATCGATGTTGCTGCCAGCGCTGTAAGTCGAGCCCCGGAGCTCGCGGAGCTCACGGGCACAGGCAGAGGGTGAAGGGGGGAGGGTGTTGTTGACATTCCTCGTGTCGCTGTAGCGATGGCCCCCCTCACACTCTCCCCTCCGCCCTCACCCCCTCCCCCACGCAGAGAGGTCACGCTTTGCAACTGTTGACTGGAAGTCAGGGGTCTCGTAACCTTCCCGCAAGGGTCATGGTTGCTTTTAATTAGTAAAGTCAACCGAAGGCCGGCCGCCCGGTCGGTCGCTTAAAGCCGATTTCCAATCAGCAGCCGAAGTTCCAATGGGGGACAGGGAAAATTCAGGCTTGCAGTGTTCATTTTGTTTGACAAAATTCGTGATAAAAAATATTCATCCACCAAGTTGTTTTTTATATTTTAGTCAATGGTGACTATGAGTGCACCGAAATCGTCAAGCGCGATTACGACTACAACTACCCATACACTCTCTGTCGACCAGGATAAAAAATACATACAGTGAAGGAAAAAAGTATTTGATCCCCTGCTGATTTTGTACGTTTGCCCACTGACAAAGACATGATCAGTCTATAATTTTAATGGTAGGTTTATTTGAACAGTGAGAGACAGAATAACAACAAAAAAATCCAGAAAAACGCATGTCAAAAATGTTATAAATTGATTTGCATTTTAATGAGGGAAATAAGTATTTGACCCCTCTGCAAAACATGCCTTAGTACTTGGTGGAAAAACCCTTGTTGGCAATCAGAGAGGTCAGACGTTTCTTGTAGTTGGCCACCAGGTTTGCACAAATCTCAGGAGGGATTTTGTCCCACACCTCTTTGCAGATCTTCTCCAAGTCATTAAGGTTTCGAGGCTGACGTTTGGCAACTCGAACCTTCAGCTCCCTCCACAGATTTTCTATGGGATTAAGGTCTGGAGACTGGCTAGGCCACTCCAGGACCTTAAAGTGCTTCTTCTTGAGCCACTCTTTTATTGCCTTGGCCGTGTGTTTTGGGTCATTGTCATGCTGGAATACCCATCCACAACCCATTTTCAATGCCCTGGCTGAGGGAAGGAGGTTCTCACCCAAGATTTGACGGTACATGGCCCCGTCCATCGTCCCTTTGATGCGGTGAAGTTGTCCTGTCCCCTTAGCAGAAAAACACCCCCAAAGCATAATGTTTCCACCTCCATGTTTGACGGTGGGAATGGTATTCTTGGGGTCATAGGCAGCATTGCTCCTCCTCCAAACACGGCGAGTTGAGTTGATGCCAAAAAGCTCAATTTTGGTCTCATCTGACCACAACAGTTTCAATCAGTTGTCCTCTGAATCATTCAGATGTTCATTGGCAAACTTCAGACAGGCATGTGTATGTGCTTTCTTGAGCAGGGGGACCTTGCGGGCGCTGCAGAATTTCAGTCCTTCACGGCGTAGTGTGTTACCAATTGTTTTCTTGGTGACTATGGTCCCAGCTGCCTTGAGATCATTGGCAAGATCCTCCCGTGTAGTTCTGGGCTGATTCCTCACCGTTCTCATGATCATTGCAACTCCACGAGGTGAGATCTTGCATGGAACCCCAGGCCGAGGGAGATTGACAGTTCATTTGTGTTTCTTCCATTTGCGAATAATCGCACCAACTGTTGTCACCTTCTCACCAAGCTGCTTGGCAATGGTCTTGTAGCCCATTCCAGCCTTGTGTAGGTCTACAATCTTGTCCCTGACATCCTTGGAGAGCTCTTTGGTCTTGGCCATGGTGGAGAGTTCGGAATCTGATTGATTGCTTCTGTGGACAGGTGCCTTTAATACAGGTAACAAGCTGAGATTAGGAGCACTCCCTTTAAGAGTGTGCTCCTAATCTCAGCTCGTTACCTGTATAAAAGACACTTGGGAGCCAGAAATCTTTCTGATTGAGAGGGGGTCAAATACTTATTTCCCTCATTATTCTGTCTCTCACTGTTCAAATAAACCTACCATTAAAATTATAGACTGATCATTTCTTTGTCAGTGGGCAAACGTACAAAATCAGCAGGGGATCAAATACTTTTATCCCTCACTGTATATCAAATCTACACATCCAAGAGCCGACTGAAATCACGGTTTTCCGACTAAATTAATGCTGCAACCCTGTAATGATTCAACCCCTGCCCAAGCGACCTGACGAATTGACTCGATTCAAAAATCGATTATTCTGCCTTGTTTATATATTTTTGTATATGGCACGTCACACGTAGAGTTGTTTGCTCCATTAGACCACATGTACATCGGCATTTTTACGTAAGGCCCACTGAGCTATCATAGCTCTTTTTTTAGATGCGACCTGGCTATCACAAATGATAGCTCAACGAAGTGGCTTATCAAGTGGATATTTATACTCGCAGCCAAATACTCGAAACGCATGTTTCTAAAAATCACACGCACATCCCATCTGTCAATTCGTTGCTGGATGACGGCATCCCTCGCACACCGCGAGGGGAGTCGAGGTTATTTGAGCATACTTCACCGCACTGGTCAGTGCGGGCCAGTGAGTCAGGGACCACAGTACAGTACAAAAAACATGTTTTCCTGCTGTTCATCCAGTTGTCTCTCCGCAGCTGCCTATAACAATCTGTTTCGCGAGCGGCAGCCACTCTATCCAAGCCCGTCTCTCTCTAGCGTATGGCAAAAGTCTGCGCAAAACACACGTCCGGGTTTAAGTCTGTGAGCCACGCGATAGCTTCGGGAGTTGGCGTGAAAAATACCGCTCAGTCCGCCAGAGAGCGGGCGTAGGATGCAGTTGGTTTCGATACGGTGGTTCCATTGTCTGGTTCGGGTGGGCCGCAGTCACACTGTGGGCTGCCCGTAATTCTCCACTTGTGGAGGGTGAGGTGTGGGCACAGCGACCAGTTAGTGTTCTGAAGCGGTTAATGAAGCACCGTAGTTTTCTTGGCAGATCAAAGCCGTGCGGAGCAATGGCGAGGGCCGTCGATGAGGCTTTTACTTGGGGCCTCAGCACAATTACATATGAAAGCCTCATCGACGACCCTCGCCATTGCAGTGTCACGGCTTAATTCTGCCAAGCTTCCGAGACCTAGGCGACATCGTTTTTGCACGCAATACGCAACCGTTGATAATCGACTGTCATATGCCCAAGTTGGTGGGGTGTATCTATCTGACCGCGTGTCATAGTGGTGGGGGGTCTCCTCCAACTCACAATCGGAGAGTGGTGAGGTTAAATACTGGTCCAGGGGGGGTGACTCAGCTCATCATTAACATCATCATCCCTATACATTTTTTCAACAAGCCCAACTCTACTGATGAGACCCAGATGGTGAAAACCAGCCCAGACTCTGCTTTAATAAATGCTGCTTGGTAATATCGGTCTGGAAAGACAAATAGGCTGATTCATTTTAAACATAATTTTTTTTTAATGCAGAGACAGAACAGGGTGTGCCATTCAGCTTATATTTGCCATTCCCAAGCTTCCAATGAACTGCAATACTTTGTGCCAAGTCGACACTACCCATCCGATGTAAAGGCCGGCTCCTGCTATAGGAATGTAGAATTTACAACGCTGGTTCAGACCCCCCACCCCCGGAGATGAGAGCTACCCCACGCTTGTTTGAACAAGGAGACTCTGACTTTGACTGCCAGACCGAATGGTCGCATTGTATTACATCGATCCGTTCTGAAAATAGCCCGTGGTGGCAAACAGACAGCTTGAATGTCCCTATGCACTGTCACCTCGAATCGGGCTGCAAGGACATGAGTATAGAATTAAAATATACTAATGCTGCAAGGGCATTAGTATAGAATTAAAATTACAATTACACTATCAAATTAAATCACTGTACATTTGGTATTCACACCACTCTTTTAGCACAGCACTATTATGAAGGAATGCGCTGTCTCACAGACAATCACCTCAAGTTGTTTCATGGATATGGGTGGGACGATGTTGCTATGCGTAATTCCAAATAAGTATTTTGCGGGTACGATTTCAAATTTGGCATATTGAGAGCACGATGCCAGCACACAATGAGCCAACTTTTTTTCCAATGGCATCACCGGATCTTTCACGTGAACCCCGAATCGGACAGCAAGCGGCATTAATGGTAAATACACACCAGAGTGTTAACCAGGGTGGTCGTTGCATCCCAACCGCGAACCTCTGCAACAAGCGACCAATGCGCTACCACCAGGCCACGTCGCTGCCCCATCATCAGCGTGCCAGGGAATGGCCCCCCGGAAGACGACGTCACAGAACTACTTCTGAGATTATTTCGACAGGCATCTCTCGCCCAACATTATTCGGGGCTCCGTACTTCTCCACGCGCTGTGCTGCAGAGATGCTGGTCGCACGGCAGAGTCAAACCAACCGTGATGATTCTCACAACCAAATTTCATGGTCTGCTTTGTTGTGCAGTCAATGCTGGCCCGGCGGAGACCATCAACTGGCTACACTTGAATACCCGGTTCAATCATTACCCAGTCTATGTGATTCAAAACGTATCTATGACACTGTTTTAATTCTCCAGGCGAGTCTATGGATCTCTATGAGAGTCGATCGGTTTATACGTAAGTCTTTGGGCCTCTATATATGTCTATGGGTATCTACGCAAGTAAATGGTGACTGGCCTGAGACCGTCAACTCACTATACACTTGAGAATCCGGTTTAATCACAACTTAGTCTTTGCAAGTCCATGGGCTTCAATAACAATCTTTACGTTTCACAATGAGTCAATGGGTCTCCATGTAGGTCTAAGGGTATCTACGCACGTAACTGATGACCGGGTTGAAACATCAGCTCGCAAGACTTGAGAACCCAGTTTTAATCACGGGTGACTAAAACCTAGATCAAAGCCGGGCACTCAGTGGTGGCACCTCAGTGTCGCAACACGGCCATTATGAACCCCTTAGCCACCCGTCGTCCACGTTTGTATCAGTTCTCACAGCAGCGCGGGGCAACTCACCTTATGTCGGCATTTCATAACCACTCCGTAGGCACCTACGTGGGAGAGAATGTGAGTGTTAATTATCTCATAGGATGCATCACCGACAAACTAACACTTTCATTGTATCACATGGGTGAATGCACAAATTAACCATTGATCTTGACCCAATACTCACCATGGGAGACGGGCAATTTGGTGAGGAAACTAACAAAGAGACGGGTCGTGGGGGTTACTTGACCGTACTTCACCACGCTGGTCAGTACGGGTTGGTGAGGCTGGGAGGATGGATATAGATGTGGCAGTATAGAAGTACAGTACAGCAATGGATGTTGCTGCACTGCCCTTTACTGGCTACCAATGCAGTCTTACAGCCCTATGACCAGAACCGCCCTCAAGGGCATATGGCAAATCGGGGGCGACTGCCCTGGGCCCCGCGCTTTTGGTGGGGGGGGGGGGGGGGGGGGGGGGGGGCGCCGCGCTTCGACATCATGATGCCGTCGTCCGCAAATTGTTACACTGGAAGAGGAGTTCCACGCCAATCGCGATCAAACAAAGACAAAGATCCCCCGTATAGCCTTAACAGACTATTAGGGCGAGTGCTGTTAACGAGCACCTATCAAGGCCGACACGGCACACAAGGGGGGTGGGTGGCCAATACCACGCCCGCCAGCCTTTATCTCCCAAGTGGCGATGTTTGTACACCGCATCAGGTACTCATTTGAGGCCGAGTCGACCTAGGGGAGGCCCAGCACCGGTTAAGATAATCGTCACTGGCTGTGAGCGGGAATTGAACTCAGGTCGCCCAGATTCGTAGTGCAGCACGCCAACTGCTACTACAACCAAACAGGGGCGGAGCCAGGATTTCAGGCCGGGGTGACATTCAACAAATTTTAATTTCAAGAATGATTAGAGAGTCAGGCTGTTGAACTAGATGCCATCGGTTGGCGACACACTCTGACAATGCAGTTGCACGGAGTCCGCCAGACCGAGTGTCGTACACTTATACGCAGAATGTCACCCCTGTCACCCCCCCTGGCTCCACCCCTGCTACCAAACCGCCACATTGAGGCACGCGTTTTAGAAAAGACAAAAACCACACAAGGTAGTAATTCATCACAAAACCGTTCGTGGCAACTACAAAGCTCAAGCCGTATTTACAAGTGTCTTCGTTTTGAAACTGGACCGGAGAAGAGTGATGCTTTGCGACTCAGAATAAGTCAAATTAAACGTGCACTCAAGAGAATTACAGTGGTAGATGTATGACGTTTAATCCCCTGAAACGCTTCTGCACTCAATTCTTGTCGTTAATTTGTCGCTTTTTTACGTGCCCTAAGCTTCAATGGTTATCTCTGCATCATCATCATCATCTAATTTACATACACTGCTGGATGAATGCCTCCCCCATGCTCTGGACAACCCTCATGGCTCTGCGACACCAAAATTCACCTCACTCCTGCACAACAGCTGATCTTGTCGCTCCATCCCAAAGATGGGTGTCAAGATTTTTGCAAAACTGCTCTCCGATACGGAAAAACGTGAAACATGACAAACCGGCTAATTGTGTGGAGGTGTCCTGGGACCTCCTTTGCCAGTGTCATAATATAAGAATGTTTTCCCCTTTTTTCTGTCAACAATCAGGTGTTAAGATTTTAAAACACCAAACTAAAACCTTTTGCAAGGAATCATGGCTGCATTAACCACAATACTTGTGGTGAAAATACAAACAAAAAAAACATGCTCTGACAATATATGCATTGTCTTTGAAACTGATTGGTCCACACCAGAGACAGCTTTCTTTAGAGCCTAGTCTCAAACAGTGTTAGACCAGAGGACAATGCCAAAAGGTGAACGGCACAAAGACAATGCCACTATCAGGACAATGAGAGAAGCTACATCATGGGACCCCCTTTTCCAGTGTCAAAATAGCTGTCTCTGGTGTGGACCAATCAGTTTCAAAGACAATGCATCATATTATCAGAGTATGTTTTTTGTTGTATTTTCACCACAAGTATTTTGGTTAATGCAGACATGATTCCTTGTAAAAGGTTTCAGTTTGGTGTTTTAACATCTTAACACAGCTGTTTTGTTGTCAGAAAAACGGGTAAGACCAATTCTCATATTTTGGTACTGGAAAAGGAGGTCCCATGATGTAGCTGCTCACCCCGAGCTCTCATTACAGTTTGATGTTTTAACATCTTAACACAGCTGTTTTGTTGACAGAAAAAAATGGAAAAACCTATTCTTATATTTAAGTGTGGAGGTGGTTGACTTTGTCCGAGGGGGTTCATAACGGGCTGCATTAGAACCAGGACCAGTTCATACATTGCTTGCAAATTCATATAAAACACCAGGTCGCCTCGGCACAGCCACATTAAATGGGTTTAATCCACTTGCCAATCGGCAATCGGTTTATCCAACCGAGGACTGATTTCACAGGAAAACTGGTGCCACAGCTGCCACGAACCGCACACGCGCACACTGTGAACAAACGTCCATCACAACGATGGAAAAACGTCCATTATGGCGATGAGCCGATCTCTAAACACTGGGTCACTTCATAAAGTATTAAAGCTTTCGCGACTGCATAAAATTATTCATCGGTTTTTTTCGGTAAAGTCACGTACGTAGAAATACAATAAAATTATATTAAAACAGAAACGTCGTGATTGTTTTTTGTTTTAATATAATTGTATTGTATTTCTACATACGTGACTTTACCGAAAAAACCAATGAGTAACTGGGTCACTTCCTTCATTTGATCCTAATGGCGGTGCCCCGGGGTACCAAATCATACAAAATTGCCGAGGCAATTAAATATTTTATTTCTGGGACACTTTCTTTCCAGGGGTGCACTTAACTCCGCGACTGGGGTACCGATAAATCCGAAATCGGTGCCACTCCACGATGTTGAAACGCAGTGAGGACGATTGCGCTGAAACCCTGAACGCTCGTATGCACCGTAGTGCATCGTGTAAAGCTCGTCGAGATGAGTCGATTGCCGCATCGCCGACCATCAACAGACTAAAAATTACTGCATCACGGACATTATGCGAGAGCTGGGGTACTGTGGAACCCCGGGGTACCGCCAAAAGATTCATTTGGGACAGGGTGACGGTTCGCCCTGCTGCCCGGTGGCAATCTGGCCGAGGGCTTAGACCCCTAAGCGTAAGGATGCGAGTTCAGACCCCAGTCTGGGTTTGATTTGGGCCGTCGTCATCAATCATTGTCGTGGTTATTATCATCACTCCCTGGGGTCTGTTGGTAGGAATGTGATGATTTGTGCTCTCCGTAATCCGAATTATAACTTCAATTGGAAATTAGACTGTAGCGTTACTCCTAACGCCAACCGCACGAGTCAAACAGACCTCTGCCCTAACTCTATCGACGCCAACCAAGGAAACATTTGCCCCAAACATTATAGTTAACCACACCCTAACATAGTGCTAAACCATATCGCACTAGCCAAGCATACACTAGCAGCACTACCCTGAACTCGAATTTAACTCACCAATCAGACCCTGTCACAGCCCCCAACACTCACCTTAATACCCCCTCAACCTAACTAACAAGACTGTCACTAGTCTTACCAATCACTCAACAAGATCATATCACTACCCAACACTAACCCTAACGTAACTCGACCCCATCACTCACTCTACCAAACACTCTACTGCAAGCATCAACCAATGCCCTACCCCAACCAGCCCCTATCACTATCCCTACCCCTAACCAACCAAACCAGCTCGTATCACTAGCCCTACCCCTAATCCAACACTCAACCAGCCCTTATCGCCAGATTAGGCTTCATAAACTACACTGCTCTACTGCTGCCGTTGTACAGGCTGCTGCTGCTGTGCATTCTGCTGCTGCCGCTAGCGTCGCCGTGTGTGTGTGTGCCGACGCCGCGTGCTTGCCGCCGCGTGTTTGCCACTTCACGGGTCACCTGGTCTACAGCGGGCGGTTTGCAGAGTCGCAAACTGCAAGCATCACTTCTGCACTCGCCGGTGACATTCACCGTCGTGCTACACTGCCACTCATTTATTTCACCATTTGCCTCCGCGGCTGACGAGAGACCGGGTGAAAGGGGGGCGACTTGAGCAACAACTGCCAACGCGGTCGCGCACGCGCGGCCATTCCCGGACAGAGTTGGCATCTCAAATCATCCTCCTCTACGCCAACTCTCTTGTGCAGTTCTCCGTCGCATTTGGGGTCCGTGACGCTGAGGACCCGAGCGGTAGCGTGTTCGCCGCTTGTTGCAGAGGTTTGCGGTTCGAATCTGGCAGGCTGCCCCGGTTATTACCGCAGTGGGTGTATTAACCAAAACATAACATGCTCCAAATTTTGATTTAAAGCTTTCGTGACTGCAGTAATTCATATTCTTAGCTCTTTCGGTAAAGTCACGTTGAAGGGAAACAATAAAATAATAAAATATATATAAAACAATATATATTTTATTATTTTATTGTTTCCCTTCAACGTGACTGTACCGAAAGAGCTAAGAATATGAATATAACATGCTCTGTCTGCTTCACCGTGAATATTAGAGATCCTGTAGCGTTATATGAAAAGAGAAGGCCATTGTGTACCGGCGTCAGTCTGCCAAATTAGAAAAGATACACCGCAAGTTACTCAATTGGGATTACATGCAGCACCATTGCTTCCTACTTTAAAACTAGCGGAGATCACGTCTTTAAAACATAGCGCCTTCACGAGAGCCTTGCTCTATGACGGGAACACAAAGTGTAGGAAACTAATGCGATTAAGCGGCGCATGCAGTCACGTCCGGACACAGGTGAAATCATAAACGGTCTCCTTTCTGCCTCCCTTTTACGATCCTTCTTCTCTGCAACATTTCCCCATGGGTTCGCATCCAGTCAACTCACCTTCTCCCACGATCTGCAGGAACTCGTATTTATTCATCACATTACTGCCCGGCGGCTTCATGAGTCGTCCGAGGAGAGGGGGGAGACGGTGGCTGCAGCGGCAGCAGCAGTGACGGCGGCGGAGCGACGCTGCCGAGCTGGTCTCTCTCGCACGGCGGCGGCGGCGGCGAAGTCTCCCCGCTTGCGACACGAGACGTGGCGCAGCTGTTTGGGGGGGGGGGGGGGCAGCGTGGGACACACACAAAGGGAGTCATTCTCGTGCCGGTTGCCCCCCCCCACCCCCATTCACGGGCGCCGATTGGCAGCAGCAGCAGCACGGCGGTGGTGGTGTTGGTGGTGTTGGCGGTGGTGGTGTTGGTGGTGTTGGCGGTGGTGGTGTTGGTGGTGTTGGCGGCGGCGTGCCACCAGTCGTGACGGCGAGCTGCTCGCCGTCAGTGGAGGCAGTGGGAGCCAATGCAGCGCGTCGCAAAGTGAACCTGTTAAGAGTCGTGAGTTATGTGCTCCTCTTTATTTATTTGTATCTAAATATTTGTTTTTTTATTGCGTTTCAATAGGAGCCCGGTACAGAACACAAAACGAGACGCGGTGAGGAGGTTACAGAAAATCCGCGAGCCTCAGTCCCGAACGCTGTGCACCTTTGGGTTTAAAGCGGGGGGGGGGGGGGGAGTGGGCTCGCCACAGTTTTAGGATTCGTTTTAAACAGTGGCTGAGCACAAGCCCACATGCCCAAAAACGGCAAGCAGTCAGCTTGCCGTTTTTGGGCAAATAGTCGTAAACGCGCGACGTTCAGTCTAAATGTGGAGGGCAAAACCGGAGGACCCGAAGAAAAATCCACGTGACCACGGGGAGAGAGAGAGACACGCAAACTCCAAATATACAGCAGCAGCAAGCGTCAGGGTCGGGATCGAACCCACGACCTCGTGTATACCAGGCGAGGTAGTTAACATCTCACCACAGAGAGAGAGACACGCAAACTCCAAATATACAGCAGCAGCAGGCGTCAGGGTCGGGATCGAACCCATAACCTCCTGCACACCAGGCGAGGTAAGTTAACATCTGGCCACTGCGGCGCCCATAAAATCAAACAGCACCATCAGAGTTGTAACAGAGAAGATTTAACACGTTTCTTAAACGGTGCAAGGTTGTTGCTGTTGCCGTTTTTATTATTCAGAGAACTTGGGGGGGAAGAGAGGGAAGGGATTTTGCAAAGCGGATGAGCAGTGTATGAGAGAAGAAGCAGACAGAAGTGGAAACTGGTAACGAGGTGGAGACCCGTGACGAGGTGAGTGAGGCCGGTGACGAGGTGAGCCTAGTGACGAGGTGGAAGCCGGTGATGAGGTGAGTGAGGCCGGTGACGAGGTGAGACCAGTGACGAGGTGAGTGAGACCAGTGACGAGTTGGAGACCGGTAAGGAGATGGCTTGTAACGAGGTGAGGCCGGTGACGAGGTGAGACCAGTGACGAGGTGGAGACCGGTGACGAGGTGAGTGAGGCCGGTGACGAGGTGAGACCAGTGACGAAGTGAACCCAGTGACGAGGTGGAGACCGGTAAGGAGATGGCTTGTAACGAGGTGAGGCCGGTGACGAGGTGAGACCGGTGACGAGGTGAGTGAGGCCGGTGACGAGGTGAGACCAGTGACGAAGTGAACCCAGTGACGAGGTGGAGACTGGTAAGGAGATGGCTTGTAACGAGGTGAGGCCGGTAACGAGGTGAGGCCGGTGACAGCTGAGCCCGGTGACGAGGTGAGGCCGGTGACGAGGTGGAGACCGGTAACGAGATGGCTTGTAACGAGGTGAGTGAGACCGGTGACGAGGTGAGCCTAGTGACGAGGTTCGAGCCTAGTGACGAGGTGAGACCGGTGACGAGGTGAGTGAGGCCGGTGACGAGGTGAGCCCAGTGAAGAGGTGAGCCTAGTGACGAGGTTCGAGCCTAGTGACGAGGTGTGGTCCCGCGGCTGGGATGGAGGTGACGATGTCGCGTTGATTCACGCTGCGAGGTGGCCGCCTCCTAACGAAGCTTCGCTTTTAAAGGGGGCAGCCTGCAGCAAATTCCCGTTAAGAGGCTTTCTTGTACAAAGTTCCCACTTTAAAAACAACAACAACAAACACTCCAACAACAACAAACACTCCAACAACAACAACAAACACTCCAACAACAGCAGCAAAGGGTGACGCGAACCGGACGGCTGTCAAACTTTACACTCGCGTAGCGGCAGACCTCGGAGGCAAGCAACATTTAACAAAAATATAACGCAGCGTTAAATTACACAACGACAAAACGTTGACAAGACGCGCTGGGTACTTAACGCGCTCACCACGTAGTAAAAAAAGTAATAATGAATATTTGTGAGTTTAATGGTTTTAAAACGTCGTTAAGATGTTGTTTTGTTTTACCTCAGCACGCCCGGAGTCCAGGGCTAAGGGGTTCGCGTGTGGGGACGGGGGGGGGGGCTACCCCGCGGTTCCCGACATGCCCCGCGCGCGCCCGAAATCACGTGACCGAGGACGTCACCCGTGTGAAAATGGAGGCGGGAAATCCGACAGGGGGAGGCACGTGTCTCTGTTGTGACGCCGCAGATAAAATCCGCGACAGACTGAATGATACATTAAATAAAGAATGATACATTTTGTTCAAGCTTTAGGGCCCATGTATGGAGTAACTTGGTGTGACTTTGCACTTATAAGGAACACCGGAACGGGAATCGAAGTATTTGTTACGATCCAATGTCCGATGAAACGGGTAGCGACCGGTCCATCTTCTTCGGTTCTTTCGGTAAAATCACGTAGAATGAGAATAAATTAATAAATTAATAAAATAACACAATAAAATTCTCACGACGTTTCGGCCACAACACAAGTGGCCTTCATCAGGTGAAGGGACGAGACTGTCTCGAGGACAGCGCTGGAGCGAACACAGCCAAGCTCAGACCGCGACCTTTAAGCTGTGTGAGAAGAAATAGAGCACCTTGACAAAGGAATTAGCATAAAAAATTAGCATTTAATTGGCGGACTTAGCATGATGAACGGTGTAGAGGGGGTGAACATTGTGCAGACCGGCGAGGGGGGGAGGGGGAGTTTACATATTGATGGGGTGAAAAGGGAATTTAAGCTGCTGCGAAAGTTTGGGATACCACTACTTGAAAAAATATACTGTACCATTGAAAATTAGTTTCATGTTTGGTTCGGATAATTTAGCATTGAAATAGCTGCGTGATTAGCTTGTGACTGGTTTATTGTGTTATTTTATTTTATTAATTTATCATTTTATTCTCATTCTACGTGACTTTGCCGAAAGAACCAAAGAAGATGAATCCTTGCAGTCACGAAAGCTTTAAATCGAAATATCGACCGGTTTTTAACGATGCAAAAGGGCCGTCCATAAATGACGTCACGCGATTTTGGCTGATTTTTGACCCCCCCTCCCCCCCTCGTCACACGGCGTCACAAAAAGTCAGACCCCCCTCAATACAGACGTCACAAAGCTCTGCCCCCCCCCCCAACCATATTTCCAGTTTGAAAATAAAACATGCTTCAAATCACTTTAAACTATTGTTGTCATTGTAGTGCGTATTTAATTTGGCGCTGCACTCTGATGTTGTATGAGAAAACACGTATTTAAAAGGAGGCGTTGGAAAGCTGAAATTTAGCATAAAATTCACTTTAAAATATTCAACGTCTAACTAAAACTGCATTTTATTGAAATTCTCTTATAATTATAAAATATTAAAAGTAATTATAACTAAAACAATACTTGAAACTTTGGAGTAGAACGAAGCAAAATGGAGAGTACAATTATAACAATCACATATTCATTCCACAGAATGAAAAGCCCTGGTAGACTCATTAAAATCTTAATGTTTAATCACAATCATTCAACATTTTTTCAAAATGTATGCTTCTCCATTCTCCCATGGAGAAGCAAAATGCTCCTTCATGGAATAAATAAAAGGTGACCATAGTAAATTAAAATAATCAAATAGTTAATAATGAAAATTAATAAAAAAAAAATTAGTGTTATTATAACAAATCTATTGTTTATATTTATTTAAAGTTGCGCATTTTGATGTGACGTCACATTTCTCAAACCCCCCCTCGTCACACATCGTCACAAATGTCTGACCTCCCTCCCGCCTTAGCTGCGTGACGTGATTTATGGACGGCCCCTTTGTCACCCACACTACTTGGTGAAGGCCTGCGACCCACATCTAACAAGAGCGACGTTTCGGGCAATGGCCTATTGAGAGACCAGAGTGGACGATACGAGTCAGTTTTTTAAATTGAAATAAGAATAATAGTTATCGAAGTTAACTAACGCAGTAGATCATCGATTATCCCGCGGCGCAGGATTTTCAAAAACGCCGGATAATCACTAATCACATCATAATTTAAAACAGCTTATTTTTGCACATTCTTGTATGACATGTTTTAGGTGTTACGTGTTGTTTATGTTTATTATATTACATTTGCATAGATGTTCAAATAAACTAAAATAAATATCCTACTTTAAAAGGTTATATTGTTTACTGTACCGTACTTACCACTCCAATCTCGAAGACTTGCGTGGCGTGATGCATATGCGTGCAGTATTGTAATTTTTTTTAAGTTGTATGTAGTGTATAATGTACCGTATGTAATATTTGACACTGAAATAAAGCGTAGCTACTTTTTTGTCACGAGCGCGGTGCCGATCGCCGGACAGGTCCTGCAGTCTTTGGGGCGCTTTGCCGGTGTCGCTGGATCGGCCTGGAACCACCGGATAATCGATGATCACCTCTAGTTATCGATACATCTCCAGTGACCCTCTCTATAATCTGTGGCCAGGATGTCGCGGTAGGAGTGACCGTATAGGCGTGTCCTTTACGTAACTTGTGAATTTTGTGTTATACGCGTCTAAAAGACTTTTAAAATGTTACCGCATTTGTTCGTTTAAGAAGATGAACCATCACAGTTGAACGTGGAATTGAACGTTGAACAGATCACGTGCACCAGCGTGAACGCAGGCTTGCAGTGAAACAATGCAGCAGCGGCCTCCCGTGGCCAGCAGACGTCGCCGTAAGAATAGAATTAAATCTTGCCTAAAAGCTTTCGTGAAGAATAAGAATAGAATTAGTACAACCAACTTTCTCACTGGTCAGTTAACAATAATCTTTAATTGGATAATCGTGTTTAATCACAATGAACTGAATCGTACGCGTGAACTCCTCG